ACTAGTACTATACTACGTCACATGAGAACCACTATTTACTAGTACTATACTATGTCACATGAGTTATACACTAAATACTAGTACTGTACTATGAACTAAGCGCCTTAGAGTAATTTTACAAATTATATAGGGCGCTATATAAATGCTGTATATTATTATCATTATTACTATGTCACATGAGTTATACACTATATATTACAGCTGTAGTATACTACGTCACATGAGAACCACTATTTACTAGTACTATACTACGTCACATGAGAACCACTATTTACTAGTACTATACTATGTCACATGAGTTATACACTTAATACTAGTACTGTACTATGTCACATGAGTTATACACTATACACTACATTTGTAGTACTATACTACGCCACATGAGTTATACACTATACACTACATTTGTAGTACTATACTACGTCACATGAGTTATACACTATAAACTAGTACAATACTACGTCACATGGGTTATACACTATAAACTAGTACAATACTACGTCACATGAGTTATACCCTATACACTAGTACAATACTATGTGACATGAGTTATACACTATATATAAGTATATACTACTCCACATGAAGTATACATTATACACTAGTACTATACTACGTCACATGAGTTATACCCTATACACTAGTACTATACTACGTCACATGAGTTATACACTATATGCTTGTACTTTACTACGTCACATGAGTTATACACTATAAACTAGTACAATACTACGTCACATGAGTTATACAATATATACTAGTACTATACTAAGTCACATGAGTTATATACTATATACTAGTACTATTCTACGTCACATGAGTTATACACTATAAACTAGAACAATACTACGTCACATGAGTTATACCCTATACCCTAGTACTATACTACGTCACATGATATATACACTATTTACTAGTACTATACTATGTCACATGAGTTATACAATATATACTAGTCCTATACTAAGTCACATGAGTTATATACTATATACTAGAACTTTACTACGTCACATGAGTTATACAATATATACTAGTCCTATACTAAGTCACATGAGTTATGTACTATATACTAGTACTTTACTACGCCACATGAGGTATACACAATAAACTAGTACAATACTACGTCCCATGAGTTCTACAATATATACTAGTACTATACTAAGTCACATGAATTATATACTATATACTAGTACTTTGCTACGTCACATGAGTTATACAATATATACTAGTCCTATACTAAGTCACATGAGTTATATACTATAAACTAGTACAATACTACGTCCCATGAGTTCTACAATATATACTAGTACTATACTAAGTCACATGAGTTATATACTATAAACTAGCACTTTACTACGGCACATGAGTCATACACTATCAACTAGTACAATACTACGTCACATGGGTTATACACTATAAACTAGTACTATACTACGTCACATGGGTTATACACTATATACTAGTACTATACTACGTTACATGAGTTATACACTATATACTAAAGTACTATACTACGTCACATGAGTTATACACTATAAACTAGTACTATACTACGTCACATGAGTTATATACTATATACTAGTACTCTACTACGTCACATTAGTTATACACTATATAACTAGTACAATACTACGTCACATGAGTTATACACTATAAACTAGTACAATACTACGTCACATGAGTTATACACTATATACTAGTACTATCCTACGTTCCATGAGTTATACACTATATACTCAAGTAATATACTACGTCACATGAGTTATCCACTATAAACTAGTACAATACTACGTCACATGAGTTATACCCTATACACTACTACAATACTACGTGACATGAGTTATACACTATATATAAGTATATACTACGCCACATGAAGTATACATTATACACAGAACTATTCTACGTCAAATGAGGTATACACTATATACTAGTACTATATTACGTCGCATGAGTTATACACTATATACTAGTACTATATTACGTCGCATGAGTTATACACTATATACTAGTACTATATTACGTCACATGAGTTATACACTATATCCTAGTACTATATTACGTCACATTACACTATATACTATATACTAGTACTATACTACGTCACATTAGTTATACACTTGATATAAGTACAGTATATACTACGCCACATGAAGTATACACTATATACTTTGTCAGATAAGTTAGACCCTATGCACAAGTAATACACTAAGTCACATGAATGAGTCGAAATGATCTAGTAATGCACAAGGTCACTGTTATACTTTTTGGAATAATGTTGGTCGTATTTATCGTTATCTAGCTGTTGGAAGTTATAATGACCGTTGGTATCATCTTGGAGAAATTTGAACCTGGATATTTTGATGGTACGGAACAGGAATTCCTTAATGACGTTTTCTCCGGTGACATCAGCCTCGGATACGTTACGCATGCGCTTGGAATGTTACTTTTGACCCTGACTGTCATTTCTTTTGTACTCAATCTTTTCACGATCATTGCGGTGTTGCGAAAATGGAAGTATTTTCTATTTGCAGTAAGTATATGATATCCACAAGGTTACTTTTAATTTTAAGTCTATATATAACACTTAATGTCCCTAGGTTACCAGTAACTGACTTTCTAGATTTGTACTTAGGTAACCAGTAACTGATTGTCTAGGTTTGTCCCTAGGTTACCAGTAACCGACAGTCTAGGTTTGCACTTAGGTAACCAATTACTGACTGTTTAGGTACGTCCCTTGGTAACCAGTTACTGACTGTTTAGGTACGTCCCTTGGTAACCAGTAATTGAGTGTCTAAGTTTGTTCTGTGTTAACCACTAACTGACTGTCTTCGTTTGTCCCTAGGCAACTAGTTACTGACTGTTTTGGTTCGTCCCTTGGTAACAAGTAACTAACTGTCTAGGTTTGTTCTGTGGTAACCAGTAACCGAATGTCTAGGTTTCTCACCTGGTAACCATTAACTGACTGTCTAGGTTTGTTCTGTGATAACCAGTAACTAACTGTCTAGGTTTGTTCTGTGGTAACCAGTAACCGAATGTCTAGGTTTGTCACCTGGTAACCATTAACTGACTGTCTAGGTTTGTTCTGTGATAACCAGTAACT